TATAACATATAATATACTCAGTAAGTCGATTGCCTATATGCCTATATAATTTATCGATAATAGACTCATGTTTATCTATCAATCTTTCCCGGATCCATTCCTTAAAACGTAAAATTTAATTGATCATACGAATTACGATGTCATCTATGCGCGGTTTCAGGAGTAAACTTGGTAAGATCGTAACAAAGAAATTAGTCATACGAATCTTAATTGGTTTTCAAGCGAATATACGTTGATAATCGGAGTCCGGATATGAAATTGTCTAATAATAAAATGGAAAAATTACCGTTTAAAAAAAAATAGTAAGATTAATAGTCAATAATAAATCTGAAAGTCAACAGTTAAAAAATGAACAGTAAAAGTTTGATAGTCAAATGTAAAACGTTTGTAAAAAAAAAACCGCATAAATTAAATTTGTATAATTAAATTAAATAAAACTTACATTGAAACAGAAACTCATTACAACAAATATATTGCTCAGTTATATGCATATATTTAAGTGAAAGGATCGGCTTAAGAAACAGTCAAAAGAACAGAGCAAGGTTAATCTATTTATTTATTGTTATTAGAGACACATTTTAATAAATAGCAATATGACTCCTCGAGACATTCCGTATTTTTTTGTTAATGCCTTTTGTTCGTGCTGTATTTCAGAGATCATCATTTTATTTTAATTCACTTTAATATCGAGAATTGCAGTTCCTTCTTAATCAAAAGTATGGTTGTAACTCAATATGTGTTCTGTAATAACCGAATGTCGATGAGTCATGATTGATATTATTTTTATATTTATTAATATGGATTTTATGTAAGTCTGTCCCTTAGTCTAAAATTAAATTAAAACCTGTATTGATAAACATAACAATAATATCAATAATATTATTAATTATACTTTAATATCGTTGTACCGAGAAATCTAAAGATTGTGTTGACTTATGTCGAGAAATCTGAAGGTTGTGTAAATGGCATAAAACTGCATATCTTATAGTTGTGCTAGACTAGCACAACTAAGATATGCAGTTTTATGCTATTTAACAACTGATTCGAGTGTAAACGTTGTAACGATGCACCCCTAACTGCATCGTCCCCGGCAATACTAACTCGCCGGATGCCGCTACGG